GAACAGACAAGTTGCTGTCCTTTTGTTCTTCAGTCTAGTTGTGGAGGACGTCACTTCACTGGCCCATGTTGGTATTATCATTGCGCTCTTCCAGGGTGAGGCATTCAGTCGCCGGCCACTGGACGGCCGCTTACGGCGGCTCACAGCAGCTCATGTCAGCTGCTGGCTGCTCACGCTGGCTGCCAGCAACTCATGGTAGCTTATGGCAGCTCACTGTAGCAGGGACTGCAGCCTATGCCATTGTTGGCGACTCATAGCAGCCCAGCTCCCGGTCGAGCTGTTGTTCACCATCTTAGTTGTAGAGGTCGCAGCGTCACTGGCCCTTATGTGACATCCGAACCGCAGCCCTGCTGCTCAGAGCTGGCACTTCCAAGCCAACTCTTAACCAATGCGCCACACAGCTGGCCCTAGAGGATTTTCTTTAAAGCCTCTGAGTTGTTAGTTTGGGGAGCTAAGGGGACTTTGATTTTCAAATGTACTGCATCTGGGGCTACTGCTTTGAGAGATTTAGGCAGCTTCCTCCAGCCTCAGAGCACATAGTAGAATAAAATAGAAACAAATTGCTAATTTAAAATAAAAAAATTCGTTTCCCCCAAATTGCGGCCGGTGACCCACGCGGAGCATGCTGGTTGCTGGGCTCCCTCCCCTCTGTGCTTCCCCGTGGAAAGCTGCTCTCCCTCTCCCACTCTCGGGGCCTGGCTCCTGGCTCAAGGCTGCTTGGCCTTTGCAGCCAAACCCTCCTCTCTCAGATGGGGCTTATTGGCTATGGGAAGAGATGTCATGGTCAAGTTCTGTGACAAGTTTAAGGATAAAGCAAACATTGTAGACCCTGGTTAAAATGGACCTGTGGTGTGAGTGAGGACTCACTCAGCAGGATGAAGGCGCTCTCTGCAGAAGGCTGGAGTGGGTGTCCAGACTGATTTAGGGCCCAGGTGGGGGCCCAGGTTGGGGCCTGAGCCAGGCCAGCTCCCTCGTCCATGTGCCTCTCAATCCTCTGTCACTTCCTTCCTGTTTTGTGGCCCTTGAGTTTCATAATTTTAGAAACTCTTCCACAGCTACTTGCATTCTTACTTCTTCTATTTTGTTCGCTTTGGTCACATATGCCTTGGAGGTAATTACGGTTTCAGGAACTCCCCATTGGCGGCTTCCCCCATCTCTGCAGGCCTCGAGGATTCTGTCTGCCTTGTTTCTGCTCTGACAAACTGTCTTTCTTTTTTCACCAGAACCCGGATATCCTCAGCACCATCGGCTACGACAGCATCATCCAGCACCTAAACAATGGCCGCAAGAACTGCAAAGAGTTTGAAGACTTTTTAAAAGAAAGGTATATGTTGTTTCCTCTCTGAAGACAGAGGGGAGGGCAAAATGCTCCCATACAAACAAGGAACAAGTCACTGTTTCTTGTTTGTTTTCAACGGTTCACAAAACCTTCTGTTGTAAGTGATGGAACGATCCTCAAGATATAAGTGGTATCTTTAGCCTAAAGTTCTTAGAAACCCGTTGGAGACATAAGATTTATGAATGAAACAGCAAACAAAATATAATAAAACATTAAGTTGTGTGATACCCATGACACTGAACGACCTCATGGGAGAAGGAGATGGTAGAGGACTGGCCGAAATAAGGAGGTGGGGTGGGTGCTTCATGGAAGAGGAGGTCCTTGAGGTGGCCCTTGGTGCATGAGGTGGATTTGATAGATGGAGGGGTATCCAGATGTCTGTGGGGGAACAGCAGACTTGGAGATGAGAATGAGAATGACCCATGTGGTGGTGATGGGGGGCAGAGCCTGCCTCAGAGACCACTGGGGCCAGGGAGCAGTGACAAAGGTATAGGACACATCGTAGCACACCGGAAGGTATAGGACACATCGTAGCACACTGGAAGGAAGCAGGCCTTGGTGGTGGGGAGAACTGTCTTGATTCAGAGGATTTTTTTTCCCTTTTATTTTTATTTTTGGATAAGATGTATTTTTTTTTAAAGATTTTTTTTATTTTTTATTGGGGAATTGGGGGGATGGGAACAGTGCTGGGGAGTTGGGGGAAGGGGAACAGATAGTTGCTGTCCTTTTGTTCTTCAGTCTAGTTGTGGAGGATGTTGCTTCACTGGCCCAAGTTGGCACCATCATTGCACTCTTCTCTGGCGAGGCAGATCAGTCGCCGGCTTCTGGACGGCCGCTCACTGCGGCTGCTGGCCGCTCACGCTGGCTGCTGGCCACACACGGTAGCCCCTGGCAATCCACTGCCACAGGGACTGCAGCCCACGCCGTCGCCGGCGACTCAGGGCAGCCCAGCTCCAGGTTGAGCTGTTGTTCAGCATCTTAGCTGTGGAGGGCAGTGTCACTGGCCCTTATATGTGGGATCCGAACCAGGGCACTCTGGCATCCCAAGCGAGTTCTTAACCATCGCGCCACTCGGCCGGCCCAAGATGTATTTTTTTTTAACGCTATACTTATACTATAGGGTGAGTTGGTTTTGTGGAAATCTTATTCATCCAGAATACTCCATCTCCCGGTGATTCTGGATGAAGGAGTGCTTTAGGGGAATGTTTGGCGAAAGATCCAGGCCTTTGGCGAGTCTCAAGCTCATTAACAGGTTCTATCTGTCAGGCAGTGAGTGAGAGAGTCATAGCTTGGAGATGCCGACCTCAAAGTGTTTTCAGTCAAGTCTCTTTATTTTCTACTCAAGAGAACATCAGGTAACACTGAGCTAACACTGGTAGCTGCTCTCCGGTGGTGTGGCCTCTGTCCTTGAACTGACTCGAAGGTCTGGGGGAGATGGAGCACTGCCACACGGTGCCCCTCAGGACGGGTGGACAGAGAGAGGTAGAGAGGCCTGTCCACTGTCAGCCTCCATGGAGATGGTCCCTGCGCCTCCTCCCCTAAGGGACCAGCCTCCCTCTTCTTACACAAGATGGTTGACGGTGGTGACACCAAGTTACAACTTTCCTTTTTCTTGACGGGCACTGGAGGCAGGCTTCCTCCTTTCTTCAGCAGAGCTCTGACCAAGTAGCAAGCAATCAAGTGTTCCACGACCGTGTAGGAGACGGAGACTGCAGGACATCCCTTGCTTTTGTGTTTCTCCAGTTAGGGCTTTTATAGATTTTCTCCTGGGAATGAAATAGCCTTGCCATACATCCATGAAGGAGGTGTTGGCTAATGGCCAAAGCTTCTACTACCCAGGCAGGACCGTCCAAGGGTCCCCTGACACAATGGGATGGCGGTGTAAATCAGCTGTGTTCACATTTTTTTTTAATGTAACCCTCAGTAGAAATACATTTTACCCCTTGAAACCTATGTAGTTTACTAACCATTGTCACCCCAATAAGCTTTAATTTAAAAAAAAAAGTAAAAAAAAAAGAAATTTTACACTGCCACCCAGTACACACATGCATAAAACAAAAGTTTAATAAAACATTACTACCCTATAATTTATTCAGTTCTATTTAATTAAAAAGTGCTAGTCATGACCCATGGAATTGATTTATAGTTCCCAAGTGGGTTATGACCCACAGTTTGAAAAACCCAAGTTCAAATAGAACCCAAAAGCAAAGATCTCACTTTTATAATGTTTCACAAAATTATATGGGAAAGAGGAAAAACAGACATGCAAATTAAAAAGGGTTACATATTTATACTGTATTTCTAGTATGTGGTCATTTTTCTCCAGGAGTGGCATAGTAAAATAAACCAGTCCCATGTGCTCTGATTTTGAGGAAGAATCTGCTGGCATCAGGTCCGAGTGTCAGATATGTATGTATGCCCTGAGCGTGGGGGTTTGAGGCCCCTAGCAAGTGGCCTGCCTGGCCTTTGGTTTCCCTTTCCCAGTGGTGTGCTTACCAGAGGAGGCTGCTATTACTGAGGAGAGAGCATGCGTTCCCCCACTATGTCCTTTTCCTTTTCAGAGATTAATTCATGTGAAGACGTGCAGTCCTCTTCAGGTTTTGGGGGTGCTGGCCTTTCCTCTTGCTCTGATAAGGTGTGGGACCTGGAACTTGGTCTGTTGAGTCTGAGCCATAGTCTGATGTTGCTGAAATGCCCTCCTTGGGTCTTGAGCATAATTTTACCGAGCTGTCATAAATTTCATGTGGCACCCTGGCATGTTCATATGGGCTAGAGGCAAAACACACACCCACATGGGCAAAGGTAACAGCAGTCTGTCATAATTGTTTATTATTTTGAGTTCATCAAGTGTGATACACATACATTTATAAACATTTTATGTTATGTGGCTAAATATGCCTTATATCCTAGTTTTGGGACATCCCCACTGAAAGTGTCAAAGTCCTATCATGCACCTCTCTGGAATTTCCGAGAACTCAACCTGCCCAGGAACAACAAAGGGAAGGGACAGATACTGCACCTCCAGTGTGAGCTCCTTCTCCCAATGCTTCCTAGATGGAATCCAGGACTATGACCCTCCATGCCAAGTTTTACCTCCATTACAGAAACTAGGAAGTAACCTTTTCCTTTGTTATACCCTGATGGACAGAACAATCACCCCAATGCAATGTGTAGTGTCAGATGCTGCTCTGGAGTGGGCAGGAATGATCTCTTTCTTTCATCTGTGTTGCTGATCCCTGGGCCATGTTTTATAGCACATGCTCTGTAGCTGGTAAGTCCTTAGTAAGTCCTGGATGACTTACTATAACACAGCAAGTAAGTAACAAAACAGAGTAACAAACAATCCATCAGCAAATTGCAAATTTGCCTAGTTTACCCTTTTACCAGCGAGAGAGGCATGATGACAATCAGACCAACATCTGAGTAGCTATATAATAACAACCACATATGGAACATTTGCTTTGTGCAGTGCTAGGAGCTTTGACTCAGTATCTCTAGTACTGTAACATTGAGGTTTATACATCCCTTTGAAGTATTCCCCTTTGACACACATCAACTGCATGAGGTATTATTATTTTCATTGTTTTTGCATGGAACTGTAGCTTTTTAAATGAGTTTGGGTAAGTAATTTACCTGGGAACCTAGAAAGTGACAGAATCCAGAACAGCTCCAAAGGTCTCACGCAGCTCCAAAGGTCCCTGTGTTTATGGCTGATCACCTCTGGGAAGAAGGATAGGATGGGCTTGTTTCCAGCACAGAGATTGTTTCTCCCTCCCTTACCTTTCTGATTCATACATTCTCTCTCATTACATCACTCTCTCTGTTCCAGCCAGACTCGTTTATTAGGGAGCATACTTTGGGTGTCTCTGCCTCTACATCTTTGCTCCATTATTTCCCCACCTGGAATGTCCTCCTTTGTCCTTGATGCCTAAGTAAATTCTCCCCATCTTTTTAAGTCCACGTCAAATTTTGCTCTTTTTTTTTCTTCTTTAAAGGAAGCATTCTATGTAACACTCCAGTCTGAGGTCATCCACAGGTTAACATTTAAAATGACCCTGTCTTGTCACTGGTAGCCAAGGTCCACTGTCTCTTCTGCCCCTAGAGCCCCAGGTGGGGCCAGACGTTACATACTGAGCTCTTGATATGAGCAGTTAATGAGAAATATAAAAATGAGGATAATCATACTGCAGAGAGTAGCTGGTAGTGATTAAGTGAGATTATATTCACAGTTGCAATTTATTGAAGGTGTGCTAGATACAAGCAAGCTACCATGTGTTCTGCATATATTATAGCTCATGTAATTCTCATAATAACTCTGTATGACAAGTTTTATCATCCCTGTTTTATAATTGAAGAAACTGAGGTTCAGAGAGGTTATGTGACTTGCCTAAGGTCAGACAGGTAATAAGGGGTGGACCTGGTTTCATACCTAGGAAAATTGGCCCCTGGGTCTGTGCTGTTAACCACTTCAGTATGCCTAATACATTACCTGGTACACAATAAGTGGTGGGTAAATGGTACCCATTGCTAATGTTATTATATTCATCCTAGAAAGTAGGTAGGGAATATATATCATTAGCTCCATTTTACAGTTAAGAAATCTGAGGTTTAATGGGTGTTTAAAAGACTTGCCCAGGATTACAAAAGCCATAAGTAATGGAGCCAGGACTTCTATTAATCCTATGTCTAATGGCTTTTTTCCACTTTACTTAATGGTCTCCTAAGATGACTGGGTATATTCTCTCAAAGGGGTTTTCTCCAGGAACTTGGCAGCCAGGTCAGCTCTCTTAAAAGTGTGTTGCAACACAGTCCTGAGTAGGGAGGAGGAAAGCGTGTTGTAGAGCCTTTATGGCTGGAATTCTGCACCGCTTGCAGGTTAGCAGCATACCTACGGACTGGGGGATCCCCCGCCCCAGTGCCTTGGGACCCTGTGCTCTTCCCACAAGCTCCTATACATCCCAGGGCTCCTTTGTCGGGAGAGGTCA